GTGTAACACTAAATATCGTTATTTAATACATAGAATAGGTGCTTGTAGGCATGAAAATAAGCCCTACGCTTCACCCGTCTTCATGCCCCTAGGGGAGCTCCTACGGACGTTAAACAAGCAATCAATCAATCAATCATGTCAACGCAAAGGGTGGGCAGTTTGATAACGCACTGCAAGTTGCCTTGAAATTTGGGAATTAGTGCATCACCAGAATACTGCTCGAAGCAGGCGCCAATGTTAGTCCGGATGGTTCATGCAAAAGCGCCTTGCATCACGCTATTGATGGGTTGAGATGTACCCCTTCACTGGTAAGCACGTTGCTGAAATTTGGTCCACCGATGAGCACAGTCAATGCCCAGAACATGACCCCTTTACATTTCATGGCCTTGCATCGGAAATTTGAGGTGATCAAAATTCTGCTCAAGTATGGTGCCGACCCCAATGCGCTTTTTGAAAACCACGAAACGTCTCTTTACCTCTTTCTAAATAATCCACACGAGTCTGTCTCTATACAAGACCCATCCAGGATGAGAGAAGTATCACAGCTGGGGTACAAACACTCTTGATGCACGGAGCTGATCCAAACTACTGCACTCGACGACGAAAAACTCCACTACATCTTGCTAGCAAAGCCGGAAATCATGTATGGGTTAAAGTTTTAATCGAGTACGGCGCGAATGTAGGACGGACGGATGACTCGGGCCTCAATGCACTTCATTACGCAGCTCAAAGTGGAAACCACAAAACCATAGTTGCTATTCTTAGAACTGAAGAGGCAAAAAAGGTTGGTCTTGTTACATCGAAGGACGGATCTGGTAGGAATGTGCTTCACCATCTCTTGGACAAGAAAAAAAAAGCCAGAATCAAGACGATACGTTTTCTGCTTAGCCGAGGGGCCGATAGTTCAGCAGTTGATGACTCTGGATGTACCCCGTTAGCAAGTTACCTCCAAAGCCGTTCATACATCAATCCCGAACTCTGCAGCTTACTCTTGAAGTTCAACGGGAACGCGACTTTTTCGAACAGCAAGGGCCAGAACCTCGGACACCTATATATCCAAAATCGGAATACTACATTTGAAACGCTACGGTTCCTGCACGAGAGAGGTGTCGACTTGACAAAAAAAGATCACGAGGAGAAGACGTTACTACATGTGGCAGCTACGCGAGGCTCTCTGACTGATACAATGCTGGTATATCTCATCAACGTTGTTGGTCTTGGAATAGCTGACCAAGATATACATGGCCGAGATGTTTTGCAGTATGCCACTGAGAGACACGAACGAATAGAAAGAGTAGAAATAGAACTATCAGCAATGTTTTGTATGGAAGAGCTTAGCGTCGATTTCTGCAGTTGTTCCTGCAGTGGTTGCAGTGGTTTCTACAGGAATTTCTACAGGGATTCCTACAGGGATTCCCGCCTGACAATTTTAAGACGCATCACTGAACTCAAGGAACTCGCCACGAAAAGGAATAACGTCACAATCCCTGTATTGTAATCGAGAACAGCCGATCAAGATACCACCAAGTTACAGAGAACAGTTTATAGCACATGATACCCAAACCAATTCAAATTTTTCCCAACTCCTGCCCACTTTATCCTTTGTTCTCAAATCTAATCACGCACATCGCTTCTTATCCGCTACACCCACTCACCCAGCTACCCCGAGAAATACTCACAACCAACCCACAACACTTGCTTCACGCAAGAGGCTTGATGCATGCTATCGTTACATTACCCTTACCCTCACAACTCCACACTCCACACTCCTATCTTTTTTCTTCTCCTACATGAGACGCCGTAATCTCCCCCTCCCCCTCACATGCTCTCCACTACATGAATCGCATTTACCACCACACATCCAAATGCACATATACGAGTCATCAACACATTTCCCCCATTTCCCGTGAACGAATAATACTAGTTAGGCAAGGACAAGACGCATATACCAATGTACCACGCAGCGCTACCCTCTCGAGTCAACGATATCGGAACTGTTAAAGTCAGCAAACAAAAAAGGAGTTGTACGCACGGGTGGAACATTGGATGCGTGTTTGAATCAAGATGGAGAGAATGTAGGGGTGAGTTGAAAGGATTGTTTGGAAAAGGGGAGGGTTGGGAGAGAGAAAGTGCACACACGATAGCGAGTGGGAATACAGAACAAGTGCTTGGTAAGATGATAGGACATAGATGTAGATGTGCTGGTTATGGGGTGGGAAATGGATCAAAGTCTATGTTGTTGGACCAGTTTTTCTTTTTTGCACCGTGTTACTGTGTTCAGTGACAAGACATGTACAATCACGATACGGAGAGAATGGTAGATGGAATTGTATAATTTGTTCTTTGGTATATTTATTCTAGGGGTATATGGGGATTGTTACTGAATGCGCTTGACGGCGCGAGTCCGGTAGTAAGGTAATGGTGAGCACTATTTGTGCACTTTGTTGATGTCTGGACAGTGTCTTTTGTGGGCAGATGCCGACACAAGCTGTTGTGGGGGTCACATCATTTATTCACATGTCTGAAAATCTACTTGTCGGTGCTTTAGGCCTTACGCAGAGCGAGCTTCTTGCGTGCCTGGATAGTGTAGGCATAGAGAGCATCTTTGAAAGCGAAGAGGAAGGCAGCAGTGATGACACTCTGGGTAACCTTGGGTCCAATGCCTGATTTCATGTTAGCTTTCATCTTTTTTTCCCATCAAACATCATCCAACACATACCTCCATAGAGACCAGTGTATCCCTCCTCACGGATAATCCTCCTGAAAGTAGTCATCATGCTCTCCCTCGGGCCATCTCTGCCTGCAACGTGCATCCTGCTCTTGACTGTAATGTAGGGGTAGGTGATGCTTGTGGCCAGCAACTTGCCAAGAGCACCGAGGTAAAAGGCATCCTTGGGGGTAACGCGCCTCTTCTTCTCCAACAGCTGCTTCAACTGTTCAAAAACAGTGTACTGCAGAATAGGGTTGATGACAAGGACCAGAGCGGGCATGACGCCGGCAAACAGGCGGGCAGGGCCCTCATCACGGATGAGAGCAAACAAGGTGGCGAGAGTGGAAGGCGCCTTCTCGACAGGCGCGCCGGGAAGCGATCCCTCTTGGGCCTCAGACTTGCGCGTTGTCATGCGCGTGTTGACGACCCAGATGGGGTTGGTCATGAGGACCGTGGCGCTACCGGCGATGGCGCCAGCGATCATCGACTCAATGGTGGTGAGCTTGGACGAGGCGCGACCGGCCTTGAGGGCGGCCTTTTCGAAAAACGAGCGAGTCCATTCATACCCTAGTGGGGGTCAATACGGGGGTTTGGGGTGGGATGGGAAAAGGAGCCGAGGTACAGTAGTAGTAGACAAAGTTTGTGACTGTGATGCCGAAGAGGGCAGAGTCCATGCCGGCGTAGAGTCCGGCGACGCCTTCGCGCTTAATGATGCGGCGGGCGGCATTGAGCGTCGACGACTGGGCGCGCTTCGACTCGACCTGGGCGCGAGTGGAGAGGGTGATGAGGGGATAGCTGTGAGCATGTCTTGTTAGCGGTGCGCTCGGCATAGCGACGGTTGAGGGCAGGCATACGTCAGGGCCATGGAGAGCAGACCCCCGCCGGCGCCAGCAAGGGCGTGGGCAACATTGTCGCTCTGCTGGGCCGCTGTGCTCTGAGGCACTGCCGCCGTCGACTCGGCCAGCTTCTCCTGCGCCTTTTCCTGTGCCTGGGACATGGCCAGATGGTGGTGGAGATGGAGATGCGAGGTGCGCGCGATGGACGGACAAAGAGGGAAGGCGCAAGCGGGGTGCGTCGAGACGAGTGGAAGGCGCAGCCGGGGCGATGGTCGTCGTCGTCGTCGTCGTCGTGATCAAGTAGGGGGCGATGCAGCAGTCGACAGAGAGACGTTGATAGCACGAAAGGGCGTGGAAAAAAAGCGGCTTAATTATCAGATGGAGGCTCCGGGCCATGGTCTGCGTCTCCGCATTTGGCCTGCGGCTCCAGCTGCTGGCTTGTGAACGTCACCAGCCAAGGCTCCCGGGGTAAGTAGTACAACCGAGGCAACAAGTCCCCCCGGCCTAACTCGCTTTCAGCAATCCTCTGCCAACCACCAACCACATGCCATGCCTACTCTTCAGACACCCCCCCAAAAAATCATGTCTCCGACCTGCATGGCTGCGCATATGATCAGCGCCGCTACCCACTGCTACCAGACACAACCCTGCTCATCTCCTGCATACCCTCTTCTCCCACGTCCTCAAGGGCACGTATAACAGCGCCGACAGCACCACGGCCACCTCGAGTCCGATGTCGCCCGTAGTTTCCGCAATAGGCCCCGTCCACCAGATCTGGCCCATGCAAGGCACAATGAGCCCAAACGACAACAGGAACGCGCCAAGTGCTGCGTATCCCGCTGGCAGTTTTTGGCCGTCGTCCCATGCGTCTGCATCCTCGGTGTAGGCTGCAAAGCTGCCGCCTCGGAATAGCACATGTTCAACCAGCACAATGCCAATGAACGCAGCGCTCCAGTATCCAATGACACCAATGAAGTTCTCGAGGTTGAGGAAGAAGCTCTTTGACGCCTCGACGGCGACGCCAATGACGATGCCCGTGATGACGATGCTGAAGACGATGCGTGGGACGCGGAAGAGCCAGGGCACGAGCATCTGCAGGTTGAGCGTGACGCTGTACATGGTCGCAGACAGGTTGCCCAGCATGCTGAATGCCAGCACCACCGTGACGAACCGTCCAAAGCCTCCTGCTGGGTGCAGCATGGCTGCGAGGACACCGCTCGCTGCATTGGCCTCGTAGCCCGCTTGCCACGACGGCACATTGGGTGTCGCGCCGCCCATTGCTGCACCCAGTGTCATCAACAAGACTGTTGGGAGTGCGAGGCCAATATATGTGTACAGTGCGATGCGGGACCGAGGTGCCTTTGGGTGCATGTATGTGGAGAAGTCGCTGGCCAGTGCGGCCCATGGCAACATGAAGCTAGCCACTAGACCGCCAAACGACAGTACCTGCGATGCAGTCGCCGCAGGGGCAGCAACCTGGTGACCGAGTTTCTGGCCTCCGCACCCTGCAGCAATGATAAGTGCCAGCAGTGCGGGTATCCACGCCCATCGCTCGTAGTGGTGCAGCACGCCAAACCCACAAAAGGATATGACGAGCGATAGGAGGGCAATCACGACGATGCCGACAGTTGCATTAATGGTCGTCCCATCCTGCACCGCAGACAAGGCCATGCCGCCAATGACACTGTCAACCACGCAGAAGCCAGTCAGTGTCGCGAGGTTGAGCAGGATCAGAAGAGACACAAAGTACTTTCCAAACGAAAATCGCGCTTGGACAAGTTGTCGCATGCCAGTCACGGGGCCCCACGTGCACATGTACGCTACAGGCACTGTGGAGACGAGCGTGAAGAAGAGGATAACCAGTGCTGCATCTCGTAAACTGAGGCCAAACGACATGGTCCCCACCATGCCAAACGTGACTCTGTGTCATGATCAGTCACTACATCTCGCTGTCATGACCGTGCAGCCACTTACGGAAGGGGATTGCAACTCATGCAAAACCACAGCGTGAAGATCTTGGAGTAGGCCGTCTCGTTCCTGTCCTCGTAGCCAACTGGTGTGCATCCTCTGACTTCAACATCTCCCCTTTTTTCCAAAAAGTTCAACACCCCCCTCCACCCCCCCAGCTCTTCTTGCCTGCCGTGTGTGACATCGTTGTCCACTCCTCCAATCTTGACAAGTGATGGCCGTTTGATGTCGTCTTCACATGGGACCCTACCCCCGCCATGGTTACTTCTTCCCACCTTCGGTATATCTGCCATGTCGTTATTCCTTCTTTTTCCAACGTCGCCTAACCCACACCTTGGCCGCTTCTACCCGGCAGGATAACGGTAGCCGTGATTTTTGTCAGATATTCGTAATACCGACACTGCGGTAAAAACCACTGGTTTGGGGGAGGATGCAACTCAACGGACTGGACCCCCACTCCGAGGCGTCCAAACGATTGAAAAATCAAAAAAGTAGCCCCAGCTGTGTGGAAAGCGCGGAGTCTGAATTCCCCATAAGCCTATGGCATAGTTATGTCTGAGTCAGCCGCTCCACTGCACTCATGGTCAACATGACTCCTCCCCCCAAATTTGTTATCGGTGTGGCGTACCGCAGCAAAATTCTTTCTTCCCCGGTATTCGCTCTCGACACCAAGAGGGTACGCCGCACTAGGGCCTCGCCTACCCGCCGCCGGGTTCACGACAAGGGCAAACCGGAGACGAGCCGACGCTTGGACCAAAACCACAATCTAGGCCGGTACAACCGTCTAGTATCCGCGTCTTAGCTGCATGCAGCATAGTCTCTCTCTACTAATCTGGGAAAGATGACGAAAGTGGGCGTACGGTCGAGGCGCGGTATAGCGTGGCGAATTGCAGTCTTGCAGTGTGAAGTCGCAAATGGCTTGATGGGCTTTTGCTGTTAGACCCGCTTGCCGATATCTCGCCGGCCCTGCTGCACCCCCCATTTATCGCTTCACTGGTCGGACAACGGAGACGTCTCGCCCAACCACACTGCAACGCGGTCATTGATACGCCGAAGCTGGGGCGGGTGGTGGTAGCGGGCCCTTTTTGTTCGGGGAAAACAAGATGCACATGTTTTAGGCGTTTTGATCATGGGGAGTGGGAGCGATCTTGTTAAGAGGGCGCTTGTGGGCGTCGATCGAGCCTGAGGCTCTGTTTGCGATTCACCTTTTTTCCCCCAGCTACCCCCCTCGCTTCCATCCTCCTTTTGGGCAGTTCTTGCTCTTCGTTTCTTATTTAGTCGTTGAAGCTTGTTTTGACGTCAAGTCATGGCTAAAGTGGGTGAGGAAGACAAGCATGAGCCTGCTCCGGTCGATGAGGCTGCATTGGGACCTGTCGAGGGCGAAGTCGAAGTCCCGTATAGTATCTACACTAGCAAAGAGAAATGGATCATTGTTGGCATGGTTGCACTGGCAGGATTTTATAGGTATGTTTGTATGTCGAGGTATCGTGAGTTACTGTTGGTTGACCCTCACCCATTAGTCCTCTCCCTGCAAACATCTACTTCCCAGCCATCCCCGCCCTGGCCCGCGCCTTTGGAAAAACAGTAGACGACCTTAACCAAACTGTCACCGTCTACCTGGTCTTCCAAGGTATTAGCCCAATGCTCTGGGGCCCCATCAGCGACCGCTTCGGCCGCCGCCTCGTCTATCTCGTCTGCCTTGGTATCCTCGTCGCCTCCAGCATTGGACTGGCGCTCTGTCCCACCGACCAATTCTGGCTGCTCCTCTTCCTCCGCTGCTTCCAATCTGGCGGCAGCGCCAGCACCATTGCCCTAGGTGCCGGCGTCATCGGCGACATCTCCACGAGCAGAGAGCGTGGCGGCTACTTTGGCATGTTCAACCTAGGTCCCATGCTCGCTCCTTGCATCGCCCCTGCCATTGGCGGTGCCCTCTCCCAATCCCTCGGCTGGCGCTCCATCTTCTGGTCCATCGTCATAATGGTCGCCCTCTGCCTCCTCTTCATCGCCCTCTTCCTGCCCGAAACCCTGCGCTCCATCGCGGGCAACGGCTCCATCCCCGTCCCCCGCATCCAGCGCGCCATCATCCCCATTGTCGGCCAAAAAGCCACAAAAGAAGCTTTCGACCCGGATACACGCGCCAAATCCAAACACTCTGTCAACCCTTTTGTGCTCTTTACCTACCCAGACGTCATCGTCCTCCTCACCTTCACCGGCCTAGTCTACGCCGTAAACTACACCATCACCGCCACAATCTCTTCTTCTTTTGCGAAAATCTATCCAAACCTCTCAGAAACAGTACTGGGACTGTGCTACCTGCCCGTCGGCGCAGGCATGATTATCGGATCCACGCTCACGGGCAAAATGCTCGACTGGGAGTACGCACGTATCAAGGCGCGGTGCGGCGACAACTTCACAATTGAGCATGCCAGATTGCGCATCATGCCGTTTTACCTCTCGCTCTTCATCGTGTGCGTTGTTGCGTGGGGGTGGACGATTCAAGCTACGGCGCACATCGCCGTCCCCCTGGTCCTTGGCGTGTTGCTGGGCTGGACGTCCATTGGTATCTTGAACACGACCATGACGCTGAATATCGATATTTTGCAATCCAGGAGTTCGGGCGCTACCGCCTGCACGAATCTGGTCCGGTGCTCGCTTGCCGCCATTCTCGTCTCGCTGATTGATCGCATGACGACTCGCTGGGGGGATGGATGGACGTATACGTTTTGGGGTGGAGTCTGCTGCACGCTCTTGCCGCTTATGCTGCTCGAGATTAAGATGGGGCCCAAGTGGCGCAAGGCGAGGGAAGCCAAAGAGAATGAGAAGGCGTAATGTTTTTTTTTGATTCGAGTTTCTTTTTTAACCAAAAGATGGGATGAGAATGTGCGTGTGGAGTAAAAGTATTATACCCTTTGTTACGAGCGTAGCATAGCGAAAGTTGGTTTTTTTTTTCATAATGAATTTACTATAACTATTCTAAAATCTTAGTCTAATGCAAGATAACAATGCAAGATGAAAAAAAAAAGACTGGGTTAAAAAAAAACATAAACTTCGTTACTTGCAATGCCATCAAATCAACATTCCCTGTGTAAATCCCTCCAACGCAGCACGGTACTTCTGACTGTACTCAATGATGATTTGCTGTTGGTACCAAGAATGTCTCGCATTATGATCCGCCACAAGGTTATGCGCTAGTTCGTGGCAATACGTGCAGAACCAGCTGTCGAGAGCTGTCAACTTCCCCTCCTTGGTGTGGCAGGCATCGGCGTGAAGGGCAATGAACCATGCAAGGTTGAAGAATAAACTGCCGTTCAGGTTGAAGGCGACAGTGTTCGACTTCTTGTCGAGGAAGATGTTGACAGCGGCCGGGTTGACCGTGAAGAGCGAGGTTAGCCCGAAGATCAGGGGGAGGAAGGCTTGAAGATGTCCCTGAAGCTCCGCGGGGGCTGCGGTTTCGTCGCGGCCGTAGTAGACATCTACGTGACGGCCAGAAAAGGGTACGGAGAATGCCTTGTGCAGGTTCTCCCATTGTTCGCCCGTGCAGTAGCCGCCACGGTCCAGCTCCGTGGCGTCCTGGTGGTGCTTAGTGTTGATGTTGTCCATGCCTGTTGGACGACACTCCTTGATCGCATTTTGGATGTTGGACTTGGTGGCTTGGATATCACGGCTGATTTGAGGTCCGTCTGTGCCGCTGGACGTAGGGGCAGGCGTATTCTTGAATCCAAGCTTCTTCGCCCAGTTGTTGATGAGACCTCCATCATCTTGCTGACGTCCGTGATTCGCCACTTCCATGCCAGTTTCTGGGCTGTCGAATGCCCCAGGAATGCGGTTGCTCTTCTCTGGTGTCGCGGGTGGCACGTTTTCTCGCTCCTCCGTCTTGAGAAGACCAGACTTGGCTTGCTCTGCCAGGCGCTGTTGCTCTTCCTCCTCTCGTTCTTGCTCTGCCTGTCTGGCTATGCGAGCCTCGTGCTCTTTCCTACGTAGAATGCGCTCTACATTGATACCCTTTTGCTGTAAGCGACGAAGCGGCTCAGTCAAGATACGCTCAAGAGCGATTGCGTCATTTCGCTTTGGTCGCGATACCAAGAGCCTGACAAGTTCGCTTGACACTTCGTAGAGATCGTACTTTGGCGTAATGTTCAGTACGTAGCCGACACTGCGAACTTTGATAATTACAGCCGACTTCCTCGACGACGTAGCGACATTGCGCTCTGCCAGAGAGTACCGAATTGAAATATCAGACACGCACTGAACGGTCAAGTTTGATCCAAGCCATTTAGCATCGTGCCTGATTGCCTTTGAAGAAGCATCGCGTTCATACTCGTGGAGGAAGAGACGCACACGCTCGAGAATGTCTCGTCGTAGATCTTGTGCTGGTGTCTGGTCACGCACCATCGTCCCGATGCGTTGGTCGGTCTTGACAAGATCAGAAACCTTTTGCACACCGAAGCGAGCGTAAAACTCTTCCAAAAGTTCCTCCTGAGGTGCTGCAATGATAAAGTCACGGAATCTCGTCATATAGTTGACATTGTCGATAATGACAATTTCGTTGGCTTTGTTCAGCGACCATTCACGATGCACGTTATCCTCATCCAGATCATCCATGTCCTCGTCACCTGCTTCCGCCTTCTTGGTATCTTCCTTGATATCACGGTATCCGAGGAGTAGCCTGGATGCGACAAGTGCCTTGACCAGCTCCTTGTCCTTCCACAAAGTTCCGGCGTGCTCTGCTAGCTTCCTGAGCAGATCGAGGTATTTATCTTGGCCAATCGTATTGAGGAAGCGAGAGGGGTTCTTCGCGACCAAGTACGCCAAATCGTGTGTAGTGGGCTCGTGCTTTGCGCCGACTTTGAGCAGGAAGACCGTGGCCTCAGCACCATAATGAACGTAGTCCAGAATTCCACGGTACTCTTGATCGCGCCCAACAAAGACATGCTCAGGTGCATCGTAATGATGAATGCGCATCTCCGTCTTTCCAGTCTGATTCTTCGATCGATCTTCGAACCCACTGCAGGCAGGATCAAGGTAATACTTTCGGAATATTGGCACAATGTTCGCAGTCGCCAAATTTTGTATCAGCCCCTTGTATTGGTCCAGATCAGAACCTCGCGACGCCAAGTAAGCAAATTGTATCTCAGCATCTAGCTTGGTTTTGGGCGGGGTTTTGATGAGATACTGTACACAGGGGCCGATGCTTGGATCACGATGAACTCCCAGTTTCTCGGCATGACTGCGAAGGTCACTTCTGAGTATTGGAAAACCTAGGCATGCTGCATGTTCATTCGTGTAGCACTGG